AGGCCCACCGCAGCTCAGCCCTGCACTTCTCGGGGTGCTGGAGGTCTGGGTCAAGGTCGCTGCTGTGCAGGGGTGCGGCGCCGTGCAGGGGCATGGCTACAGTTGAAGCACACGATCCTCACTTGTTTCTCATGATGTCCCCTCCCATCCGGGTGACGTGATAACAAGGTCTGACCTTGGCAGCTTTGCGTGAGAAAAGCTCTGACCAAGGTGACCTGCTCTCCTGAGCTCTGCTTGGGACCAAGCTGTCCCGGGGCTCCCGGAGGTGATTGCTTGTTCAGGTGGTTCTAGCTTGCTCATAGGGCCCTGGTGGCACGTGGTTAAGTGCTTGGCTGCTATCCAAAAGGTTGGTGGTTCAAACCTACCAGCTACTCTGTGGGAGGACGATGAGGCAGTCTGCTTCTGTAAAGATTACAGGCTTCGAAACCCTGTGGGGGCAGGTCTAACTCTGTCCTGTAGGGTCGCTGTGAGTCAGAACTGACTCCATGGCAGTGGGTTTGGTTCGGTTTTGGAAATAGCTTATATCAGGGACGGCCAGTCTAAAAGAGGGATGATTTAGGGGTGTATCCAGGGCAAGAGATGGGTGGGAAGACAGAACAGGTAGGAGAGAAATTGAGTCAATGACATGGGGGTCACAGTGATGGATCAGGCGGGATGGTGAGGGGCTGGAGGGAGGAGGCCCCCAGCTTTTGGTGGTGTGCCTGATGGTGCCATTCACTGAGCTGGGAAGGGACGTGGAACAGGGACATGAAGATGTGAGTGTTAGTCGGCAGGTGGAGGTGCCTGCGGCCAGGCAGAGGGTCACCAGACCCATGAAGCATTTAACGGATTGGAAGGAGCCAACGTGTAGAGGAAGACACTTCAGGGGAAAAATGATGAGACTGAAAGTTTAGCACTTAGGAGCTTGGCTATAACCCTCCCCTCAAAAGACACCAGAACCTCATTTTGTGGAATTGGCATCTAAGGGTTAGCATAATGTTTCTGAGAATCATAGAAATCTTCTAGCAGGTTGACCGGTTCATTCTCCTTTAAACATAAATCAAGATGTTTCAGGTTTTTCCAGGATTACATGAACAGTCAGCTGAGCAGCAAGCATCATGTCCCTTTGAAGAGAATAATAAACAACACAGTTGCCATTTCAAACAAGGGACACGGAGAACACGCCACCACTTCCATGTGGGGTGTGAAAACCAGGAGCATGTTAGGTCCTCACCCAGGAGCCAGGGGACCTGACGGCCGTGATGGCCTATGAGTCCTGAGTGTGACATAGCATGGTAGCTGTTTGAGGAAATAAACATTGGTCCCGTGACATGGTAAAACTTGATTCTCATTCAATTAACCCATTAACCCATTGCTGTCAAGGGGCTTCGGACTCACAGGGACCCTGCAGGGTGGAGCAGAACTGGCCCATAGCATCCCCAAAGCGATAATCAGACTGCCACTCCTCCTTCCACCGCGTGAGCGACTGGTGGGTTTGCGCCATGAACCTTTCAGTTTGCAGCTCAGCTCTTAACTACTGTGCCACCAGGGCTTCCTTTTCATTAAATGAATCTCCGCTAAAGATACACAGTGTGTTAATTTTCAAATGAAACTAGAAAATTTTACCAATTGAGTAATCAGTGTCTGGCGTGTGTAGAAGTCCCTGGCACAGGTGGGGAGTCCCTGGGAGGTGCAGATGGTTGATGCACTCAGCTGTGAATCAGAAGGTCGGAGGTTCGAGTCCACCCAGAAGGCCTGGAAGAAAGGCTTTGCAAGCTGCTGCCAAAGCATCAGCCATGAAATCCCTGTGGAGCGTGGTTCTAGGTTGACATGTGGCGGCCACGTGAGGTGGAGTCGCCTCCGTAGGGTGAAAGCAGCCCACAGGGCGGGAGGCTGGCTTTGGTGCTTTTCTAGCTGACTGGTTACCTGTGGCCTCGAGGTCTGCACCCATTATGAAGAAGCCATAATAGCTTGCTGCCCAGGTCACCTGGGGCGCGCCAATAAAGCGAACACAGCTATGCTCGAGAAAGGCATGTCCTTTGTGGCTGCTCAGGCCAGTCACGAGACACGGCCTTCTTGACCCAGGTCCTCCCTGAGCTGCTGGTGAGCGTGCAGGGCCCTGGGCCTGACGTCTGTGAGGGGCGAGCGGGTCGGGATGAGGGGCGAGCGGGTCGGGATGAGGGCTCACAGCGTCTGTGCTGCCCACATGGGGCTGCGGCTTCAGCTGCGTCACACAGCTCCTCGGGCACCAGGGTGTCCTGCAGGCCCAGCTGTTTAATGTCGTTGTTGTTTGTTGCTGTCACGTTGTCTCTGATTCACGGTGACCCCACATACAACAGAACCAAACACGGCCCAGTCCTGCACCAACCATCTTCACAGTCGTTGGTGTGCTCAAGCCGCGGTGTATTCTGAGCTCTCTATCAGACAACATTGTCTTGTGATCCACAGAGTTTTTATGGCTGTGTTTTGGTTGCCTAGTGCTACCCCGTAAGGAGCTCTGGTAGCATAGTGGCTAAAGCACTTGACTGCTAACCAGATGGCTGGCGGTTCAAACCCACCAGCCACTCCTCGGAAGGAAGGTTGGGCAATCCTACTTCCGTAGTGATACTGCCTTGAAAACCCAAGGAGGGGTCGCTATGAGTCGGGGCCGACTCGACGGCACATAACAACAACAACAGTGCTACCCCGTTAGGAATATACCACAAATGGGTACCTAACTACGTCTAGCTGCCCAGTCGCTCAACCAGCCCTAGCCAGGCTGACACACAAACTTAACTATCACAGCGGGTTTTTTATTTTATTTTTTTTAAATAGATCACCAGTCCTTTCCTCCTTGTCCTGGGACACTCTGGTGAAACTGTCTACCACGGGTGACCCTGTTGGTGTGGAACATGCCAGTGGCATAGCTTTGAGTATCACAGCAGCACACAGGCCGGCACAGGTTGTCACACTGACAGGCGGGTGGTGGCATCATTTGAGGAGTATGTCGGCATCAGACGTCCCCTACGGGGCCACGCGTCAAACCTGTGTAAGAGCATCGGGATTTGGGTGTCCTTTCACCAAGAGATTATATTTTACTACCACCAAAATCAATCTAAGTTAGTTCCCCCAAAAACTACTAAATCATCTCTTCACGCCGTTTTCTAATTGGAATGTTTCTCTTTTCCCTGCCTTGAGTCTTTGTAGCCCTCGCTGTGGGGAGGGTGTGTGAGTGCAGGATTTGCTTGGGAAAGTCACTCCAAGATCTCTGGAGGTGTTCTGAGTCCATGTGCACCGAGCCCCGGGGTGTGAGCTACGCTGGCTTTTGTCCGAGTGCCCAGGGACAAAGCTCTGTGAAGCCAGAGCATCTCTGATCTTCCGGTGACCCCCGGGTGACCCCCGGCCCCGGGTATTGTTAGAATTCAGTCTGAAATGGATGATGGGAAAGTGAGAACCCAGAGGAGAACTTGTGTGAGGTCCTGTTACGCTAAGGGTAGCATTCCGAGGGATCCCATGGGGAGGAAAGGGCCTGGTTTGAAGCTGGGGCCTATTTGTTCCTGTGTGGCTCATGGTGGTGGCTGCCCTCTCCCGGGCGTCCTTACCCTGCAGTCAGAGCGCTTGGAACAAGGTGACTTCGTTCATGCGTTTGCTCTGCTGTATGGCTCTCAATGCCATAGTGGGCTATACTGGTTTAGATGCCAAGAAACCAAGGTGTGCTGCGTTCCATCACAGGTTTTCTTTTAAAAAAATAAAAAATAGGACTTGCAAAGAAATTCACTCCCAACAATTCATATGTTACTTCAAACTCTGAAGTCCTTTCCCTCAGCTACCGTATTTAAACGGGGCCCGATTCCCATGCTGGGTGCTGTCCGTCGGAGCCGTGAAACTTGATGCCATTTGAGGAAATCACAAACCATACTGTCACAACACTGGCAGTGACTCGGAATGTAAACTCAGTTGTGCAGCACACAAGCACGTATTTGATTTTTCCTTGTGTTGTGGTTCTTGAGGGATGGGGGAATGAGGAGGGGTGGAGGCTGAAGGGACCTGGAAGACAGCTCCTGGCACTCAGCGTCAGATTGTGTTCCAAAGCACAGAATATCCTGTGCCTCAGTCAGCGGAAGCAACTTACTCAGTTGGATATTTTCAGAATCATAATTAGGATCCTGTACGTTTGTAAATGGACAGCGAGGGGGCACGAGAATGAGACTGTGCCATGTGAAGTGGGCGTGAGTTCCACGACTGACACCAGGAGGAAGACCATTAGAGAATACGGATGGCAGAGCTTCAGCTGAAATGATCTGAGCCAGGCAGACATGGAAGGAACCCCCAGAAGAGGACGGGGGAAGATGTGGGGTAAATGTCATCTTAACCCAGGAAAGCTTGGAAACAAGGTGGAAGGTTTTTAGGCGCCAGCAGAGCTCGTCAGTCTTCTGAGATAGACACACTGTCAAAGACGTGTTAGTTTCTGATTCCAAAGGGTCTCATGAGTCCTAATACGATCTAATTGAAAGAGAGTTACAGTGAGTGACGCACCGTTCATTTATTAAATACAGTGACAATGTTTGCAAATGGAATGCATTTCAATAAATTAAAACTCTGAGGAGAGAGATTGCAAAGTCAAATGTTTCTCTCTGCAAATAGAGTTAAAGTTGTTATTTTTAGAAAAAAGGAATTGAAGTTTCCTTCTTTAAAACGTCATACCTATGGGTGTTCTTCGTGTTTGTAGAACTTTGTTACAGAAAACATACCACGTGGCACATCAGAGCGTTTGTATTCTGTTTGTTGCAATGGTGGACTGTCTCACAGGTCCCAGTATCACAAACTGCATTCTAGACACACACACACACACAGAAGTTTGCTGACTGTGTTGTATATAAAAGAGAAGAGAAAAAGAAATGTCAATCAGAAAGTCAACCAGTTTCCTTTTTAAAGTGCCAGAGCTTAAGAGGAAGGTTTTAAAGGTGTAAAAAGTTGCCAGCACACCCAGTTTTGTCCTTTTTAATTTACAGGAGTTCCCATGTTTCCCCTTCTCCTTTCAGGGCATGCTGTTGAAGCGAAGTGGCAAATCACTGAACAAGGAGTGGAAGAAGAAATACGTCACTCTGTGTGACAACGGCGTGCTGACCTACCACCCCAGTTTACATGTGAGTGTGGCCCCCGCGCAACAATCATCAGGCACAGACCTTGGTGTAAACACGGCGGGGGGGCAGCGATCCTAACAACAGTCCCGCTTCTTGTCTATGTTTGAAGCTGAGGTCTGGTCTGGTTTCCCGCTCAATCGTGAGCTGATCATCTTGTCCCTTGCGTTTGGCAGACCCCATGTGTCTGCCTCTTCCCCTCCCCAACGGTGGAGCAGTGGCTCTCAGATTCTACAAAGAATCCCAGTACAAGTGCAGGCTAAGGGCAGGTGTAAATGAGCATAAAAAGACAGGAGGAGAACACAGTAAACGAGGAAGGAGAAAGGGCGTCTGTTGGAAAATCTGGAGCGAAGGATACAATCCCACTTGGATCCCACTTGAGCAGCGAGAACAAACGGAATCAGATGCAGTGTGTACGGCAGGTTCCCTGTGAGTCAGGAACCCAGACCAGTCCCTCAGGCGAGAGAAACATCCATCTCCTTTAGTAATATTCCTATGTTGGTGGCTTATAATAGATGGATTCAGAAACAGAGTTAGTTACTCTTGGGGGGAATACAGGCATGCTGCCCACAGTTAGTTCTCTCAGCAAGTTCTGATGAAAACCTGAACATGTGGTATTCTTTAGTTCCCTGACAACTGTAGTCCTTGAGCCTTGCCAGATGTAAACCTGTCCTGATTTAGAGAGATCTATAGATTGTATGAGGAGCCCTGGGGTTGCAGTGGTAAGCACTCAGCTGCTACTCAAAATGTCAGCAGTTTGAACCCAGCACCTGCTCCGAGGGAGAAAGATGAGACATTCTGCTTCTGTGAAGATTGACAGCCTTGGGAACCCTATGGGGCAGTTCTCCTCTGTCCTCTAGGGGTGCTGTGAGTCAGAGTCAACTTGAGAGAAGTGGGTTTGGTTTTTGATTTTGTTACAGGTTATATAGTGTTAACCAGTCGTTCACTGTGTTAAGATTTTAATTTTCTAATGTTTTAAATACTTTTTAAATACTGCACAGTGAATGCATATTCATTGACAATAATTAGCAATAAGCATATCGAAGAAAATGAAATACTAAATACAACCTAGAGAATATGACGATTAAACACTTGGCTGCTCACCAAAAGGTGGTTCGAGTCCACCTAGAGGTTCCTCGGAAGGAGGGCCTGGTGATTCTGTTCCAGAAAATCGGCCACTGAAGGTGCTGGTGTACGTTACCACTCTGACGTGCATAGGGTCACAGTGGGTTGGTGTCAGCGCCACAGCAACCGCTCTGTTTTTTATTTGGTTTCACTCTCCGCCATTCGCTCTGCACTCGGGGTGGGTAACCTGCACACCCTGCTGGGGCTATTCTCTAGCTGATGGTGGCTCATGAGCTTTTATGACGTCAGCCACTGTGGTCACCAGCTCTGTGACGGTTCCCAGCATTCCCTCATGCGCGGACAAGCTCACTGATGACGCGGTGTCTTCAGAATGGGCAGCCAGGGGAGAAAAGGTGGGCATCCGGCCAGCAGTGCCACTTTGATTCCTCGTCCTCCAGGGAGCTCTGGTTGCTGGTCCTGTGTACGTCCCCAAGCCGGTGTCTGATTCACAGGCTAAGCTCCCAGCAGCTGGCTTCCTGAGCTGAGGAGTGTGCCTTGCTGGGCCGGCAATCCCACCAACACTTACCTTTCAAGCCCACCTTTCCCGATGTCAGTGGTTCCTTGTGTTGGAGCCGCTGGTGGGTGAATTGCGCCCCCCCCCCCCCCCCCCCCCGCATTACAGCAAAGCCACACAGCAGTGGCTTCAGGTGTGTCTTGGGCATCTTTGACTTGTTCCTGGTGTCGTGGGAGCCCGTCCTGCACTTTCTCGTCAGGTGGCCTTGAGATCCGTGTTCTTAGTTGTCATGGGGGGAAGCTCTTGTGCTGTTTATGGCTTGGTTGTTTGGGCACAGGGTCAGGTGGCACCCTAAGCAGAGAGGTGTAACCCAGTGCCAGGAGCCCCCCGTGACAGGCCCACCATCTGTCTTCCAGGACAGCCCTGTCTAGGTCTCTGCAGCTGTGCCGTGGCCCCACCCCCAGCTGCTGTCAGAGCAGCAGAGTGGCCCTGCTTCTGGACCGCCCCCCCCCCCCAAGCTGTTTGACCAACCATGGAGCCTGCCCTCCCTGCCCTCCTCTTCCTAAGACCCATCCAGGGGTAAAGGTCTGATTGCTGGCCAGTGAAATGCTTGGATGTCTCCAGGCCACATGGACCCACCTCCAGGTTCCAGGCCCCGTGAGGGGAGCCCTTGCTTCTGCTCGCCGCGGGAAAGAGGCAGCACCAGCAGCGTGTGCAGGGAAGTCCCTGTGGGAGACCTGGTCTGCTTGCTTGCTTCCCAGTCCCTGGGCACATGCCCACAGGCAGTGCTTCCAGAAACGCCCTTTCCTTGTGGAGCCCCTATCCTCTGGCGTTTGCCAATCCATCTCTCTTTTTTTTTTTCTACCTTTCCCCATAAGAAGGCCCGAGTGTTATAAGGATACAGAAAAGAGGTACAGAAAAGAGGTACAGTGGGGCTCTGTACAATTGCATGTCAAGCAAGAGCCAAATCCACTTCCTGCCTTCAGGTAATGCCATTCTCCTGGGAACTGGCATTATTGAGTGGGTTCATAGCCCCTGCCGGAGGGGTTTCGTCTGCATCCATACCACCCTGAACGTGCGCGATCTCATCTAAGGGAGCAGCTTCCTCCCGGATGGCGTTGACTCCATAAGGCCTGGACGATGGCTTGGCCTTCACCGGCTTTATTTTTCACCCCATGTTTGGATAAAAGTTGGGAGCAGTGGGTGGTGAGTTCTGGGTACATTCTCTGCGGGGTACCTGAGGTGGATCCACTCCAAGTTGTCAGGAAACATGAGATCCCTAAGAGCTGAATACATCTGGCATTCGTCTGTGACAAGTCGAGAGGGGATATCTGAGGGGAGACCTCTGGGCAGAAGCCACTTTCCTTAATAAGAGCTTTGGGATCATCAGGGTAGGCCCTGACTCCACCCCTAGCCACCATCGACCCGGTTTCCATGGTCAACTTGGGGAACTGAGGGTCTGGCACAAACTGAGGGTCTGGTCCAGGCATAAACTGTGGATCGAGTTACTCTGGAAACAGACCAGCATCGTGTGGGCTCTTGGTGTGATGCTCTTCTTCCAATCCCTTCAAGACTCCTTCACCCAAAGTTCAAAGGGTCTTGGGTTACGTGTCTGTTCTCAGGACAGGACTCAGGAAGTGGAAACCCCGGGGTCTTCTCCCGTGTCCTCTCCCTTCGTGGCGTGGGTGCTCAGGTAGTGGTCCCTGTCAGCTGGTCACCTGTGATGGCCAGTAGCTGGTGTGGATGACCCCAGTCCCTTCCAGGGCTGCTGTGAGGGCTCCAGTTTACGGAAATACAAATCCTAGCAAAAGGGCCAGGCCACATTCCCCAGACAGACAGACAATGACAGCTGGCTGAGGCAGGCCCAGAGTTGGCTGCCTGCCTGTGGGCGGTGCTGCCAGTCAAGCTCTTGACCCCCGACCTTACAGTCCTGTCTCCTCAGCTCCTAAAGGCTCCAGCAGCATCTGTTTCCTCAGACGTTTGCTTGGAGAAGTGGCTCCAACACCAGTGGGCTGCGACTCGCACTGATTTGGTGTCGGGAAGCAGCAGACCAGCATTTCCTACCTTTCTCCAGGCTCCTGCAGGTGTTTGTAAATGCCTTCATTGGAGGCCTTTTCAGAGGCTTTTGTGGACGAGATCAGTTCAGTAAACAGATGGATTTCCTCCTCACGCAGCTGTCCATGGAAGCGTTTGGGTAAGGGATCATCCTTTGCACGTGGAACACAAGCTTCAATCCCAAACAGATGTTTTTCCCACTTTAGTGTGGCGGAAAACAAACCAGGCCTCTTGACAGAACAAACAGGGTGTGTGGCCCCAGCTGTGCCCTGAACTGCGGGATCCTAGAGGATTGACATTCTCTTTGAAACAAACTGCCAGTCATGAAACTGGGGACACCTGGCATTGCAGGCCCTCATGTGTATGAGAGCAGGTTGGTGGGAGGTTGACCAGCTCATCGAGTATGCTTGGAATGGCTCAGCTGCCATTGTGGCAGCTGTGGGTTTCCATAGCGTGCCTGCTGCGCTCAGAACTCCGAGAGATAGGACCTACATGGGGTCATGGCCCCCAGGATGTCGCTTCCCTCTCAGACCCCATTGCTTCAAGCCTCCTTTTCCCATCTTCTCCTCTGATCACACCTTCCTGCTGAGCTCTCTAACTCTGCCCAGTGTCAGGGCGTCATTTCTGGAAGCATCTTCTGTTTTTATCCTGAAGCTCAAGCTCGGGTCTTGAGAAGCTTTTTCAGGAGACCAACAACCCTGGGCCCCTTTGGCGTGGAGTGCAGCCTCACTGCCACCCTTTATTAGGCTCCAACCTTGTGTTCCCTGATACCCTCCCTGTGCCACACCAAGTGGGTATGGAAGGAAGCCTTTTTACAGAACCTGGGTATATTTCCTGTGGCTGCTCTCTGAGCAGTCCCTGTTGTTACCATTATTGTTGTTGCTGGTAGGTGCCGTGGAGTTGTTTCGGACTCACAGCAACCCTACGTACTGCCCAGTCATATTCCATCCTAACAGTTGTCACCATGTTTGAGCCCATCATTGTAGCCACTGTGTCAGTCCATCTCATTTAGAATTTTCCTGTTTTTCACTGGCCCTCTACTTTACCAGGCATGATGTCCTTTTCCCAGGACTCCTCCCGCCTGATAATATGTCCAAGTACATGAGATGAAGTCTCACCATCCTGCCATCCGGCATTTCAGCTATACTTCTTCCAAGACAGACTTGTTTGCTCTTCTCGCCGTCTGTGGTATATTCGGTATCTTCACCTAAACCACAATTCGAAGGCATCATTTCTTCTTTGGTTTTCCTTATTCGTTGTCCAGCTTTTGTATGCACATGAGGTAATTGAAAATACCCTGGCTTGAGTCAGGTGCACCTTAGTCCTCAAAGTGACATCTCTAAAAAAAACAAAACTCCTCAAAGTGAGCATT